TATGCTGGAAGCGCTGCTTGCCTGTCACGCCTTAATGAGGTCTCATTATCCATTTCGTGCCTTTATTTGTGAAAAAAGATTGCTGTGTTGTACGTTGTTTGCGTTTCACTAAAGCATGTAGGATGTTTTCCCCTAGATTGCTTCAGGATTTGTGCGTGTGTGTGTGTGAGAGAGAGAGAGAAAGATAATGGTGCTACAAATGTTCCTGTCTATCAGCAGCTAGTTATAACCATGAAATTCAACTGAACTGTTCCGCGCGCTGAGGAAGCCGTCAGGGCTTCGAAACTCTTGGCTTTCTCCTATAGGCGGGACCTTTTCACATCCCACAAACTCACAGGGCCTTTCACTAAACTTCCTTGAATAATGAATGAAGAACCAAAGTGCGTGATGCATGCTACAAGAACTCGCGTTGAGCACCACCGTCAGTCATCGCACTCCTGTTCCGGGGATGAAAGGCGTTAATTTTTATGCAGAAGTCACCCTACATTTGTGCCTAATGAGTAGTTCTCGAGTAACTTCCACAAATAAATATATTTTCACATGGCGGAGGCAGTGAAGTAAGATTGCTCAAGACACACCACAAAGCCTTTTCGATAACTATATTCAAGTGCGCCTTTCAAGGAGTGCTAATATGTGTAACAGATGTGATCGGTGGAAGCTGTTCACACTAGAAAAACACTTATTTATCTTTTCCTTTGCCTATTCATTTATGTACCTATTTATTCATTTGTACAAACTGCAGCCCGTTAGGGATATCGCTGGGGTGGGCGTACATGTAAATATTGTATGGAAGTGTGCGATAAGCAGATGTTTAAACATTTAAGATCCAATAAACAAAAACAAGCGAGGGGCCCGTTAACAAAATCATACCTCAGCGACGGCTTTTAGAGATTCAGAAATTGGTAACAAAAGAACTTCAGCAGGTAACCTATTCCTATTTTCAGTCGTGCAGGGTAAGCTGTGTTTGAAAGTGTTAGTGTGTAGATAAAACGATCTAACGTTTGGGGAATGATGAGTGCTAATTGATGACCGGCAAGCAGGTTAAAATGATCAGAAAGTTAACCAAGCGAGTTTTTATACATGTACCGAATCTTCAGAATGTGCGATAGACTGGAAAGAAGCTACAGGTTCTATTAAAAGTACTGCTTGCGATAATAAAGTAGAGAGGAGAGGGAATAGATGAACTATAACCTTGTGAAATTCAATGCCATCGTGAAAAATCATCAGACTTCTTCGGAAGTGTTTCAGAACTGAGTCAACGCCCTGAAGAAATATGCTCGTCGTGAACGCTTGTCACTTGGTTTCGGTAGCTTCGACGAGCTCTTTAACTTTGCTTAACCTTGTTTAACTTTGCCTTGTCAGCACACTAAGTGCTCGATCAAAAACTAGGGGCCAGCCCACGCATGTCACAGACACGTGCGAAAAGAGCTCGACATGAGTCACGTAGCGACGATCTGCTGTAACGCCGACCTTTATGGCATGTACCCAGCTGGTCACATTCACTTACGCCTGTCTTATGCTACGGGAGCGCACGTTATAAGGGCGGGAAACAATTTCTTTTCGTGACTTCTCCCCGCACTTGACGTTATAAGCCTGGCGTTTCTCAACACACACTTTACACAGATACGCTTTCAAAAGTTGGCGTGGGGAAGAGTACGTTGTCGTATTTTATATTATAAGACACCCCTGCAACATTGTACGGCCGTGCTGCAAATAGGTGCTCCCTATAAAAACCCTCCTCTTCATTGGTGTTTTCATCACACATAAATTATCGATATCGCCTAATTTTTGCGTCTGCTATATCTTATCCCAGGTAAACGGATGAAGTTCCCTCATGAAGGAACTATTGATTTATTTCAATTCTTATAGTTAGGGCACAAAATGATGCTATGGAAGCATATTGAAGATTCTGGTTGCATAATCTCCAACATTATCCCTGCTTTCAAATACCAGTTTGCAGAATTGCTCCTGAATGAAAAAAAAAAAAAATCAGTGTTCCTAAAGTCATATGAATGCGATAGCGTTTAGAAGCTCTTCTCGCTGAAATTCCTGCGTCGATGTCAGCGTCGGCTTCGTTTGTTGAGAGCGAAAGGTCATCATCTTTGTGGGACCGTAAAACTTAGAAAGATCCAAAGAAATAAGTAATAAAAAACTGGTTTCAAATCTTCATGTTACACCGCAAATGTAGTCGAAGGACGGTATTCTTGCGTGTGGAGAGAGTGAACAAAACGTTTATTTGATGGTCTGCACAAGAAAACCAGTGAATGGAATTCTGGAGGTGCTGAGTTATATTGCCTCCAGAGTGTAGCGGAGGCGAACAAGCACATCGAGGCACGTTAGACACAAGCGCCATCTGGTAGTTATCTTCGAAAACGAAGGCATGCAGCCCGCGGAGAAAGATGCGTGCCAGTCTTGGAGGTGATAAGGTGTAGAGCGCAAAGCGACGGACAGGTGCCACCACCGTTACGTCATAGCAAAGCATCGGAAACACCTTTTGAGCATCTCGTTGCACTGTCAGCGCAGCGCGATAAACGCTACATTCCTTGGAGTTACTTGTGCGTGCCTCTTTTAGTTTAAAGGCAGACATACACAACTTTGAAGTGTTGTAATGCTGCCTCAGATATGCGCAATAATTGCTATCAATTGACAATCGCACAACTATGAACGCTAAAATTTGAGCAACATTGGTGGGCGCTGCGAATGGGGTTGGCCGTATGGTGCCGTTTGAGGTATAGTTAGGGCGGAACAAACAGACAAATGTACAGACAGACAGACTAAAGGTTTTTGTCGAAGGTCCTCAAGAAAGACTATCGTCTTTAAAATTCTGGGTCTGAGTGGCGATCGATCCCGGGTCGTTTGTTTGACAAGAGAGTGTTCTACTACAGACATGACTCTGCCTCTGAAAATGGTAAAAAAAAACGGGGAAAATAACACCCTCTGCCTGAAAATGCAGTAAAAGTAACTTTCATGCTTTACAAACACAAGCGTACTGTATATATGACTCACTCTACAACATGAAATATGGCCGTAATGATGGGTCGGTCAAGCGTACATTGCCACCGGGCGTCCGGAAGTGAGATTGTCATAATGACTTTATAGTTTACAGCCAGTCATTCATTGCAAAAGGCACACACGCTACTACACCTTTAAGGCCACGTTGGGAAGCATAGAAAGTTCGAAAAGATTTCATACACTAAGTGTTTGAAGTATGCTCTTAGAACAAAATATAGCTATTGCTTCAACTCATATATACGAAGTTTAAGGGTCCCCCCATTTTCTTTAAAATGTGGCGCAGGAAATTTCATGTACAAACTACAAATTACACATTCGTCTAAAGTACCTAAATATTCTTCGAGAAAAAAAACTGTTCGCCCCGCTTAATTACGAGTGGTGTCTGACCATTAAACTTTTGTTCTAGTTAAACGTTTCCATACATGCCCTCGTGATTGCAAGAGGTGACCACACGCTGGAGCGGAAATAGCTGCTTAACGAACAATGCGCGCTGACTAAAGGCTGGTGAGCATCAAGAAGCATGGCAGTGATTTGCAATATCCCTGTTACGGTGCTTGGCTGCTGGTCCAAAAGATGCGGTTTCCAGTCCTGGCCGCAGCGTTTGCTCTTCGGTGTAAATGCTAAACTAGAAGCCTTTTTACTGTGCGATTGTAGGTGTGCATAGAGAACACCAGGCCGTCGAAATAAAGCCGAGCCCACTAAAACTAAGTCTCTTATAGGCTTATCTGCCTTAGTCCTAAGAGCTCGGTAAGCCGACCCACCAATCACACATTACTAATTATACTTAAGCTGCATTGTTTAAGAATTTTTTAAGCAGCTAGCTGGTTTCCTCAACCCACATTTAAAACACAGTGGAGGAATCTCACAAATCACAGACATTGCATATGGCAAAGATCCTTGCACTTAACGAAACAGATGACAGCTTGCGGATGCCTTTTTAACGGATTGTTAGCTTTTTACAGTTGTTAAATCTTATATTGAGTGTGAGAAACCGTGAACGTATCTGTCTTCATGTATGACTTCAGCACTCCGAAATTGATAATTTTCTTCGACTGTTTTACTAGAGCTTTCCGTCTAAACACTATAATAGTATTCTTGTGAATTGGTACAACTCTGAAGGGTAACATTGCACAATGTGTTATGAAAAATTTTTCAATCACCCACAAGTATGCGCCAATATTTCATATTGCGCATAAAAATATCACAGCGGGTAATAAGTTCACACAAGAAAAAGGGTGTCTCCACGTGGAGAGCAAGCGTGATGAAATTTTGCGGCGTTCAAGTGCAGTCGCGCTCAATCTGAGTCTCAACACGCTGGCTGTGGTTGAGTCACCCCAAGCCTGAACAATGCACCGACAGGTGGGAAATTGGTTCAGAAAGTACTACTAATTGAGAGAGCTCATTTTACAATCTATTTGTGTCTGTGTGCCGGTGCCAATATGCAACGTTGGTGTCATTTTGAATCTAAACAGCACGTTGCAACTGATATTGAGCGTGACTGCACATACCCATAGCTGGCGCCACGCGAACGAGTCCGCTGAGCACCAGGCACACCCATTGCACAGTACACGGACCTCTAACAGATCACCTAAACCGGAATGCGTCCGCCGCGGCATGAGATGAACCCGTCACTTTCAGGTCAACAGCTGACAACCGGTTGGTTTATGTGAAAGGATAGAGTAGGCTGGATAATGGATTGCGTCAATATTAGGTAAGTGAACTTTCACGGTCCAAAATAACAGATTTAGGAGCATCATGTCATTTTACTATTGGTGTTTCAAAAAAAAAATGAAGCTGCTCCAATGTCGGTTTATTTGACCTCTTAATCCTTAATGCTCATTCAAAACGGGATAATAACCATGAGTGGTACTTTTTTACACTATTCTCAAATAAATGTTAATATAGTGTTGGGAAATCAAGTTTATAAAGAGATTATAACCTTTATCGTAAACATACACCGTATCAAATTGCTCTTGCAGAAACAAAGCTTCAGGGTATACCAGTTTTCCTAGCAGGTGTATCAATCGCACATCAAGCATGGAAGTGCCATTATTACTCTTCGTTATGCTGCTTGCAGGTAAGACCTATTCTGTAAGTTGCTTAATGGTACAATCGGAATATAGGTATGGTGACACGCCATGGCCGGCATCACGTGTTCGGAAACATGGACCAATCACCCGGAATGCATAAGGTACATTTCAAAAATGTGTGATCGAACTAGCTCAGGCCGACCTCTCTGCCTTCTAATAAATTTTCACTCACACACACATGTGTGATTCAGACGAAATACCATTCTGAGCCTGCTTCTGCGTCAACCGCAGCTTGGAAGCATCTCCAAATGTTCGCTGATTGGTCCTACCTCGCACGAGACTATTTTATTATCCGTTCATATTTACTCTCGTTCCGTACCAGTACAGTAGTTTGAACACTTCTAGGCATGCAGTGAACAGCTCTCCAAATGATCACCAATGGGTCCTACCTCGCACTGACCTATTGCATTCTACGCTCATATTTGCTCTCGTTTCGTACCGGTACAGTAGTCTGAACATTCTAAGCATGCAGCGAACAACATAGTAGCATTATACAGATTATTCTCGTTCGTCGAAAAACCCAATAAGCAAGCAACAACCTGCAATGCGAGCTTTCCGGGTCGCAATGGTGCGTTCGTCAAGCTGTCAGCGTAAGTAAAAGGAGGACACTATCAATGCATATATATATATATATATATATATATATATATATATATATATATATATATATATATATATATATATATATAAAATAAGGGAAAGAAGTGTATACCTAAGGGCTCGTTTTTCCGTGTTTTTAACACAATATTAATGCGATATAACAGACAGTAATGTCAAGGAATGTACAGGGGAAGTTATTAAAACCAATGGAATGTAAATAAGAAGAAAGAAAAGTGGATGAAAAAATTACCAACTGTGAGCAGGAATCGAACCTACGACCTTCGAATTACGCGTTCGATGCTCTAACCACTGAGCTATCACAGCGGCCCTCCCTCCATCCACTTTTTTGGGTTTATCTGTGAATTTAGAAGTAGGAGCGACAGTCAGCGCCATCTATAAGCCAAACAACGAGTGTGAAAACACTCTTATGCGCATGTTTGGCGTCACGTAGCACGTGAACTTATTATGAGTGGGCAGCTGATTAATTGTCCCTCTTATACAACCTAAACACACCAAGTCTGCCAGTACGAGACCCTCGTTCAATGAAATAAGGGAAAGAAGTGTATACCTAAGGGCTCGTTTTTCCGTGTTTTTAACACAATATTAATGCGATATAACAGACAGTAATGTCAAGGAATGTACAGGGGAAGTTATTAAAACCAATGGAATGTAAATAAGAAGAAAGAAAAGTGGATGAAAAAATTACCAACTGTGAGCAGGAATCGAACCTATATATATATATATATATATATATATATATATATATATATATATATATATATATATATATATATATATATATATATATATATATATATATATATATATATATCTGTCGTAAGTTAGTTTTTACATTATGGACACCTCAAATATTTCGGTTCATTATTTAGGACAATAATATTCTTACAAGGAAACCTATACATAAAAAGACACCCAATTCAAAAAAAAAACTTACGTCAGAGTGAAATCTCAATGTATGACAACATCTAAAATGACTATATTATTAACAACAGTGCCCTACTTACCGAGAAATCAAGGCAAATGCACAAAAAGACAATTGCCGCTGTAGGAAATTTTCGAAATGATCCTGATGACATCAGATGGACCGCCTACAACTAATAACAAGTAATCAATCTAACTGCACTAACTATAGAGCCTTCCGGGCATCAAGAGACGCAATAAAATGCTGCTTGTTCGTTTCTGTTTGATTCATGGAAAGAAGAACCGCCGGAGGTTAATATAGAGAATGACGCGAGTGGTTCAAAAATTCAATTTTCGCGTAGTTACACAGGACAGGTAGTGCCACCTAGTGGGGCGAAGTTAAAACAAAAAACCTCTGCAATCCCGAGGCAAATGGCACGAAACTGACCAATGGTCGTTGTTGCTGCTGTGGCTCTCACTGCTTTTTGTCTGCTGCCACTAGCACAGTTAAGCCGGGCAACGTTGTGCACGGCAACAGTGACGTGAGTCGGTCCCGTCGGTCCGCTTCTTGACGCGGGTAATTTGAAGTGCGCTAACCCAAAGCGGACCACTAAAACGTGATTTTATTTCAAAATAGGCCCTTACTTGGCACAAAAGTAACACTACGAGGTATCCTAACCACTATTTCTACAATCAACGTTGGTTTAATAGTTGCCTTTAGTGTCTTTTGAGGATATTTATATGCGACGACAACGGCTGGCACACAAAGACGCAAGCAGGACCTTCCATGGTGGTCGACTTTTTGAGCGCATTGATCTGTCGTGTTACCCAAGCTATAGCTGGAGACATACAAATGCGGGTGGCGCTTTCTTCTTAAAAGAAGTGCCACTGCAAGTTATCAACTCCTTAAAGTAAATTGCCGATTATAACTATTTTCGTTTATTTTTGCTCTATTTTGGTACCCTGTTTTCTCATTTTTGTTTGGTCAAAGTGCATATAGGGACCGCTCAAGCTTGTGAGCAGGGACATACAGCTCAGGAAGAAATCTCTGACCCCATCATGCCTTCATCGGTCATTCAAGAATTAATGTATCCCACGTACCTGCTACGATGCTTTCGCAGGCACGAGTAAAAAAAGGAGCGAGTCAGAGGTTATTTTACAGTATGAAATACGTATACGATAACAGTATCCACCAATCAATTTTTCTGGTTGTTGTCGTTATACCACAGCCCTTGTTCATCATTTTGTTCTCGTATTTCTGACCCACAGGATGTCGATGCTTTCACGAGGTGCCTGAACAGCAGACCCAACTTAATGAGATGTTTGGAAATTACATGTACAATAGATTTCCGTTGGATGACATTTATTTTGCTTTCCGTCCATATTGGGACCCATGCAACAGTACATTGTATCGCTTCAACCTGACCAACGGAGCCTTGCTCAACATAGGGGACCTGCTCACGCCGAGATACTGCCCAGAGGTAAAAAACCATCTGATCAATCTACTTGAATACTCGTAAGTGTGTACGTGCTCACTATATAAGGCGACTACTCTGTTGAAGCTGTGCATGTCGTAAATTGGATTGTGTGAGCCCCTGAATGATGCGTCATGATACTACCATTTCCACTAAAAAGACCAAGAGATTTTAAGATTATTCTGCAAAACCAGCCCCTTCAAATGGGAAAAGATTATAGATTTTTATATGTGAGTTTAGACCGGAGACTAACATAGTTGTCTCGTGTTCAGTCCCTTGAACAAGAAGTTAATCAAGCCATTCGAATCATCCATCATTTATGCGGGGCTAAAAGAGGCGGTACTAAAGAGTCTCTTTTGGCCTTACATGTTTCGTAGTTATGCCCCATGATCTGATAGAGGCGGAAATGTTGTAGGCCCGTGTGCTCAGATTTGAGTGCACGGTAAAAAACCCCAGGTGGTCGAAATTGCCGGAGCCCATCACTATGGTGTCTCTCATAATCATATGCTGGTTTTGGGGCGTTCAACCCCACATATCAATCAATCAATCAGTTATGCCCCATGGTCAGTTCCTCTCTCTTTGCTTCATGTACTTGCAGCATCCACAGAAAAAAGACGTCACTTCCTATTGACAATGATCTTCTGGGTATGTCGGGGGTCGCCACAGTCCACATTTAGGATTTGATGTATGCAGAAGTTCGACAACCACCTTTGGCAGTACTCGGAGCAAGATAAACATCTAGAAATTTATTGAGAATTTTCACGCAACATGACAGTTAGCCTTCATATGGCAAACTGACACACATGACGGCAACGCCCATGCAGTATAGTGTGTCATCATTCCAACGAGTAGTACGACGACATAAATAATGAAAACCATCAAAATAACCTTGGATGGTGCCGGTTGTGAACATTATTTATGATATAGATGACATATGCAAGAAAGCCGACATGGTGCCTATAGTATTGGTACATATAGCGCTGGATCATTTTCCATGCAATGCACGATTCAAAAAGAAAAATAAACAGAGGGCTCATGCACTGAGAAGCGTCTACGTGTGCGGGCTTTATACCCGAACTTCAAGAAAAGAGAATGTATCAGTTATCGCACAAATCTTTATCAGCGACATCAGAATTGGTGGCTACTTTTTAGGCGGTTGGGTTTATTTGCAACAAGTCTGGGTCAAGGCAGTGGGTGCTATGCACTGATAGCAAAACTGGTCTTCAGATATTCAAACATTCGAGACCACCTGATAAAAGTGGTTAAATAGCAGAATGTATCAGAAAGTGTGGATTATGCTTCTGCGCAGGTGCACAAAATTGTGTATATACCAATGGAAACCTAGCTGCATTAGAATAAAATGCAATAAAGGGCAATGAAGACACAGACCAACGTTACTAGAACGTTGGACACAGACAGCCTCGCGAGAAAGTTTTGAACGAAGGAGGATATTTCTCGCTGCCTATGTCTGGGGTGGATATCGAAATTTGATAACGCAAACAGCTATTCACTGTTCTTTAGAGAAGTGGTTTCATAGCCCTAAGTCAAAGCAATCATTTCTTCATAAAATTTATCCGCACAAAAAAAATTTCAATAGTGGCAGATCTCTCACGACAATTTGAGACCTTACTCCACAGACTTCGATTGAAAGCAGCAAACAGCTGAATTACTACAAAAAAAAAATATCGATCCAGCTCACAAAATTGCCACTGTGGTCACGAGGCTGAAATTATCCGCCATGCTATTATGAACAGCGTAAAGTATGCAAATGAAACAGAATAATTGCCGCCTGCATCTTACCACGGGGGGGGGGGGGGACTCCAGTAAATGCGTCGCAGAGTGGTGGGGGTATCGCGTTAATGTTGCGTAATTGGGTGTGGTTTGGGAATGTTCAATTGTTATTCGTCTTCATCATTCTTATTTATTGAATGAAAGAGAAGCGTTGACTCCAACGTCCAGCGAAAGCCAAGTAAAGACGCTCTTGACGTAATTCCGAAAGCGCGATCCAGTCCCTGCATATGCGGGGTGGTCAGTCAATGCTTGTGCAGTGCGAGCAGTCGCTTTTTTACTACCAGACTCTGCCTGCGTCGGCCGTGTGAGGCAAGAGGGGGAGGGGAGTGGCAGTTTTGCTGGCGTCTTTCTGGGCCGGCACGAGATGCGAGCATGTGCAGTGGGGGTGTGGATGGTGCCACCACCGACGCCGAAGTGCGTCAAAGTGCGACTAAGAAATCCTCCACATTTAAAAAATTAAGCCAGGAATTCACATGTTTGGACAGATGGCCTCTCATATTAAAGAAATTATTGGACCATGGCCCGAGATGCGTTATCAGAAAAAGGCGAACATCTTCTTGGAAGACTTCTTAGTGGAGACCGGACGGAAAATGCACTTGTGATATGCAGTTTAGGTTGTGATGTATTTGATGATGTGTCAGTACATATGCTTAGAGTAGAAACCTGTGCGTGTCAACGTTTTATGGCAGTGTGAAGTGTTGTAGGCAAACTGTAAATCGACATAGCATTTCAACTTGTTTCAATGTGCTATTATGCTTTCTTTTCGCTCATTGTTAATTTTGGGTATTTTTTGTCATTTTGTTTCGCTGCAAAGCTTATCGATATGAAGTAACCGAGGTAAAATCTACCTCTACATCTCCACTGCTAAACAGACACAAGAAAACATTAGAGGGTTTAGGCATGCTGTTAGGTGTTGAAGCTAATAAATGAAGCTTATCAATAAACGCACTATCTTTGAACTAAATGGAAAAAAAAAGAGTTCCGAGAACAGGGAAATGAAAACGCTGCCATGTGCACCGCTATTCGAGAAACTACTTCGACAAAATGAATGTGTATATCAAAGTAGAAATAAAATCCAGCCAGCTCCTGTTCGCGAACACTGTCGAAAGAGCCAAGCTAAAGCTAGTTCACATGACTATGACGTACTTCTATACTTTTCAATATAGAAGTACGACATACGTAAGTATAAGTGAGAGTCGTTACATTACCGTTACGAAATAAAATAGTGTCTCATATACTTTCCTTCTTTGAAAGGCCTGTTGGTTTCATTAGATGCGTGTGCTACGCATTACGAGTGCCTTCTAGAATTCCCCTTCTTTTTTATGTGTACTATGCATTCGTATGTATAACAATATCATATAAATAACAATATTGCAAGTTTACGGGTACTTTGCACTCTCGTCGCTGTTATTGTATCTTAGAAACATTTTGCTGTAAATTTTCGTAATAGCATAATTCTTTTATAAATTCATGTTCTATAGTGCCTCTCACTTAGTCTTACTGCATAGTCCGAAACATTGTACTGCGTTTTTGTACGTACTGTCTTGTTTTCCTAATGTTACCAGTATATCATCGGCAGTTTCTCTTCAACCTGAGGGTGTCATAAAATTAATAATTATGAATTATTCTACTAAATAACTGTGGTTTTGAATGTGGCCCCAAATAATAGAAAAGAATTTTACATATCATTTTACAAAATTTTGAGGGTCATTCAACGATTTCACGTAAGAATACAAAATAATTAGGAATAATATAAAAACAAATAATAATGGTATTCAGTGGCTTAATCTCATTTGCAGGAGTTCATATAAAGCTCCACCGCGAAACTCTAAAACTTCATAAAATGTGGTTACATTAAACTCCACTCAACAATTCACATAGTGTTTCTACTTCAAACATTGTGAGATACTACTCACCTACATACGTCAACTGTGCTACCCCAGTGAAAGCAAAAAAAAATTTTTTTCATTCTCTGCAGAATTGCCGAATAAGGGGGAGTAACGCAGTGATGGGGATCTGCCACTTCAATTTAAAGGATGCCCAAATATTCTACGAAGGCCAGATGTCATTCGCAAGACCAGTCGTGCAAAATTTCACGCTTTACGCGAACATCACCGAGTTCATCTTTGGCAGTCATCGGAACCCTGCATCACTCACGATGTTCTTGTTCAGCAGTAACAGATGTCACTCCTACTCATGTAAGCCTTCTTTCTTAATTCTCTTGTTCCCTTTAGCTTTTTATTGATGGGCCCTTGAAAAATATGTTTCCTTTCATTTCCTTTTATTTCCTTAAAGACCCACGAGGGGGTATTACATAAGGGGTGTGTAATTATAAAGAAAAAACATAGAAGCCAAAGATTTAACATAGAAAGTACTTATTGATATTTTTTAAGAACGATGATGGGCAGGGAATGGTTGCAATTTCCCTGGGAAGGCCATTCTAGTCTGGTGCGGTACGTGGGAAAAACGAGGCAGAAAAAGTAGAGGTCCGGGAACGTGGCCGAGCAACTTGAAGCAAATGGCTCGTGCGGTGAGATATGCGTGTTGCGGGAAATATATAAGGTGGGGCATGCAAGGGACTATGAAAAATTTTATGAAACAATGACAGGCTGGCAATACGACGGCGAAGTTCTAGATCTGGTAAACCAGATTCTGCTTTCAATCCAGATACGCTGACAGTGGAAGAGTATGATCAGTGAATAAATCTAGCGGCCCGGTTTTGAAGCGATTCGATGGCATGTGTAAAATGAGATTGTCGAGGGTCCCAAATTGGAGATGCGTATTCTAGTTTAGGTCGAACGATGGATTTGTATGCTTGTAATTTTACGTGTTGTGGAGCGAGGCGTAAATAGCGTTTAAGGAAACCCAGTGTTTTAATTGCAGATGAAATGATATTAGTGATGTGTATGTTCCATGAAAGATCGCTACAAAGAGTGACGCCCAATTACTTGTATGACGGAACATTTTCAAGGGGGATGGCATTAACTGTGTACGGATACACAAGTGGCATGCGGCGGCGATGTAAGGAAAGGACTTTGCATTTACTCGGGTCAAGTTCCATGAGCCAGCACTCGCACGATTCCTGGAGGCAGTTTAGGTTGGTTTGTAAGGATGACTGTTCTGAAATCTCAGTAACAGTGTCATATATAACGCAGTCATCAGCAAACAGGAGGGTTTTACAGGTTAGGTTTGAAGGCAAGTCATTTATGTATATAAGGAATAAAAGGGGACCAAGAACCGAACGCTGGGTTACTCCGGACGTTAGTGGAAGGGGATTAGAGGTACGATTGTTGATAATAACAGACTGGAAGTGGTTTGTAAGGAATTCTCTGATCCAATTTAGTACGTTCGGGTGAAGATTTAACTGGGAAAGCTTTAGTAACTGTCGAGAATGGGGTACTTTGTCAAACGCTTTGGAAAAATCTAAGAATACGGCATCGGTTTGTAAGTTACCGTCCAGGTTAGTATGCAAATCATGAACAAATAAGGCCAGTTGCGTTTCACAAGAGAAACCTCTGCGGAACCCATGTTGTGCTGGATGGAAAAAGCTGTTTGAATCAAGAAAGTCTATGATATGCATTTAAATGACGTATTCCATGATTTTACAGGGTACGCTGGTCAAAGGTATGGGACGATAGTTCAATGGCGAGTTTTTGTTACCTGATTTGTAAATTGGAACGACCCTCTCGTTTTTACAGTCATCTGGTAGACGTTCTGTTAAAAGTGACTGTGAGAAGAGCAAGCATAAAAAAGGTGCACAAATATATATTGTATTTTTAAGGAACTTGGAGTTGATTTGGTCAATACCAGAAGAGGAGGAAAGTTTTAATTTGTCGATTAAGCACATAATTCATTAGCAGTGAACGATACCGGTGGCATAGCACATTCTATATTAGTGGGTGGTATTGTAAATGACACATTACTTTCTTTGGTAAACACGGATGAGAAAGCGGTGTTGAAGATGTTAGCGCATTGATCATCGGGGAATACGTGACCCGATTCATTGGTATGAGTAATTGGTGCAGTATGCGGGGGGTTCAAAACCTGCCAAAATTTTTTTGGATTGCTATAGTCAGCATGCTTGGTAAGTCAACGTTGAAAAAAGAAATATTTTTGAACTGCGTATAATTTTTTGAACTGCGCATAACTGCGAATTATTTTTTAAGAACTGCGCATAAATAAGCTTTTTTCAGCTGCGTAGTATTTCTACCACTTTCGCGGGTCTTCTAGTCTTTTTGCTAATCTAAACAGGCGTTTTTTCTTGTTTTCTAGTCTTTTCAGAGTTTTAGAGAACAATGGCTTTTTGGCAGTTTGCGCGGAAGTGGGATTTCGGAATAAATCTCTCAGTCAATTCATTGACCTTGCCCTTAAACAGTGTCCGGTTTTCTTCGACGGACCAGTAAAAGAAAGTAGTTTCTAAAATGGATAAGAATGCGTTAAGCGCCAAATTTATTGCTTCATAATTCCCATTGTCATACAAACGAATGGTTTTCTGGGTGTTTTGACGAATTAACGGTTTAAATGCAAATTCGGTATGGATGACCTTATGGTCACCTATTTCGGGGAGATAAGTAATCGAGACCATGTTCTCTCGATGACTGGTTAGTATAGGGTCCAAAATATTTTCACACTCTTGTGTTACGCGTGTTGGCGCAGTTACCATTTGTGAAAGATAAAAATTTAAACAAACGTCCTGGAAAGCCCCGGCTTCGCTTCGTGCCTGTGACGGCATGGTTTAGTTAAGCCAGTTAATACCCGGAAAATTATTATCACCGAACAAAACTACGGGGGTGTTGCGATACTTTTTTGTAACTATTCACTAGTGCGTCAGCTTTTAGCAGCACTACGGTGAAGGAACCGCATCATCCCGGAAATGCACGCTGCGGAGGTTCCGTTAGAAAAGTAAAAAATGTGAAATTTATTCTTTTGTAGTTTTTTCTTTCTAGCAAACCATAGCTGCAATAAGACCCCGTGGCTATGTGGGAACTCCTGATCAGCCTATTTCAATTGTTGTCCACCAAACACCTCTTTCGAATTAATGTTACGCAGCATTTTGCATTTAGCAGAGTTGTCTCCACTGTGTTGAGCCTTTCCCCTGTCACTGACGAGCACTGTGATATATATATATATATATATATATATATATATATATATATATATATATATATATATATATATATATATATATATATATATATATATATATATATATATATATATATATATATATATATATATATATATATATATATACAAGATGACAATCTTACCTGACATAAATGAAAATTGGTCCCACACAAAACGAATGACTACTACACTGTAAACAAAAGTTAGCCGAAATGGGAGTTTCTCCAGCACATGAGCCCACAAAACTCCCCTGCCCCAATTATTTATTCCCTGGTAGGGAGTGAACTCGGCACATGTCATCGTAAAACGCCCCCTCCTTAATCACAGAGTTTATGAACGACATGACCTTGTTAAACTCCCCAGGGAGTTTTAGGTCACGTGGTTACAAACTCCCTATAGGAGCTTTAAAAACCCTCTTTGGGCGTGACGTGTGTGTGTGTGTGTGTATGTGTGTGTGTGCGTGTGCGTGTGTGTGTGTATGTGTATGTGTCTGTACGGGCATATGTTTGCACGTCGGTGTGAAACACATGTGATTTGTGTGGCTAACCGTGTAAGCATCTGTCAACAGGCAACGAAATTATAAGTGCAGCGAAGAATAGCAACGACCGGTTGGTATTTACTGGGAACATTTCAATATATTTCGCACCTTAAACCACGCTGCACATCGGTCCGATTCCTCAACGAAACGTCCTGAATGCCACGCTTCAAAGGGCCGAGTAACAAAAAACTTCGAAGAATAAATTAGTGGTAGCAAAAGTAAGCTGTTACGATCGTCAGCGGCTGCTCCTGGAGTTTCACCATCAGAAACTTCGAAGTGGTCTGAAGTAGGCTTCGCTCGACTACGGCAGGCTGGCCGGCAACCGGTCTGAGAGTTGCGCCGGCGACGCGCTCGCCCCGTCTGTGCCAATAGTGGCTTCTCGGAGTGTCACCGGTATTTCACCGGCTGTAACATCTAAGTGGTAAGAAGGCCTCGCTATGCCGTCGGTATCAAGCCGGCATCGTATCGAACTCGCACTGTGCGCTGGCCACCGCGGCAAGCGCTACGAGCTAGCACCGACCACCGGCGATGTAAAGAATGTGTTTCACAAAAAATGAAGGCTGCTGGGATGTATAACAGTCTTCTGCGCCTTGCCACCGCAGCTGTCAATGACTAACTACAAGGCGAGCGCCGAACGAGGCGGAGTACGATCGTCAGCGATTGCACCGTAAAACTTCGAAGCGGTTCGAAGTAGGCTTCGCTCGACTACGGCAGGCTGGCCGGCAACCGGTCTGAGAGTTGCGCCGGCGACGCGCTCACCCCGTCTCCGCCGATAGTGGCTTCTCGGAGTGTCACTGGTATTTCACTGGCTGTAACATCTAAGTGGTAAGAAGGCCTCGCTATGGCGTCGGTACCAAGCCGGCATCGTATCGAGCTCACACTGCGCACCGGCCGCCGTGGCGAGCTCTGCGAGCTATACATGCAATGCATGCGAGCAACGGGAACAGCGACTGCGAACCGTCTCATTCGTTTAAGTCTATCGCTCCGTAGCTTAAACTGCGTGGATAGCGGACACCTATTTCTGTGCATGGGAAAAACGAGACGTAAACTGCACATCAACAAGCATTTTGTGATCGCCAGCTGTCATTCATCGAATCACCTTGCCGTACTCGTGAGTGAGGCCTAGTCGTCGAACGCGGTAGCGGCGGTCTACCTCGGTTCATCGCTGGAGCTGCTGAATGTGCCTCGTTAATGTGTTCATTCAAGGCCGCGCGCACTTTGTGTATGATTCAGTGCATTTTACGGGTCCACAAACAGCACTGCTGATGCGAATTCAGCCTGTACGACAGAGCGTCAACTGATAAAACTTTTTCGTTATAGTAAAAAAATATTAAATATTAGGCAGGATTAGGATAAAAGGCATGTGTGTTGAAGTGCTTACATCAGATCACCGCAAGTTCATACTTACGCCGTGCGTATTTATTGCTTAATTATTAGAAACAAAAAGGCTTTAACCTGGGCTACAGGAGGTCAGAATGTGGTGCCTATATATACTCGGTGACTATATGGTAGGTGTGTACTGCGTGTGGCAAGCTGTGGTGAGTGCGAGTGTTGTGATATTACGTGAACGTTGTGATAATGTTTGTGTACTGTAATCATTGTTGTGCGTATTAAATGTAATGTAATTAAAGTTACGCTTGCGCATGGTACGGCTGCTGACGTAATTTTTTTTCTCGGTCGATGCAAAAAATTTACTCCCATACTGACCTGAAAAAGTTCCCCTATGGATGTAAATAAAAACCCCCCTGACACCATGCGAAAACCCCCTTCTGATGGGGAGTAAATTTTTTACTCCCAGAGACGGGTTTTTTAAAACTCCCATCTGGGTGTGCGCTAGAGGACAAGGTCATTTACTCCCATTTCGGCTTATTTCTGTTTACAGTGTACGCTCGTCAAAGTAGCATTTCTTGACTCTAAATGGCTACAATTGTCCAGGCTAATTGCGCCATTTGTGCATCGGCTTTCATTTTGTTTTCATCTTGCACTGTAGTGCAGCGCAGTAAAGCCCTTTAGTACGGCATTTTTCATACCATG